ATGTGTTTATAAAAGTAGTTAAGTTAAAGTGACTGTGGTAATTCTGTGTATTGCAAAGTTGTATCGAGAAAGAATAAACGAGTTTTATTTTAGAAAGGACTTGTATCGCTGACGTTCCTCGGAAAGAATTTATACCGGAAATTAACAAACAAACAGAAACATAACAATATGCTTAAAATTGTTCCTAAAGTTTATTTTAGTACAGGATTTTCTAATTAAATATTCTGAAAGTTACCACCATGGTGAAACACAAAGGAAACATAGGACTAGAATTTTCTTGTCAGATGATGAAGATGTGACAAAAACAGAGAGAATTAAGTGGCAGAAATTGAAAATGGTGCTTTTTTTTGTAGTGCCTATTTGAGCCAATAATGTTTTCACTAATAGCTTGGAGGAATTATATTTGTTAACTATATACAGAGAAATGTTATGGAACTTGAGGATAGTGGTAGTAGAAATGTAACCAATTATTTCTTTATAACAAAAATATTTTCTTCTGTATCAAGCCTACTAATTGTATTCAGTATGTTTCACTGCACAGTGAAACATACCGAATACACACACCTATCTTATATATATTGTGAACCATGGTGTCTGTCCGAGCATTCATCTGTCTCCCCTTTTGAAAAGATATGCATGCAGGTAGAGCTCAACACTCACTTTTGAAATGTCAGGAAAACAGAATGAATGATGATGATGCCAAATTTTATTTCACAAGCAGGATATTCTACACTAAATTGTTAGAAATTAATCACACTGTCATTCACATTTCAAAATGTGATGTAACTAAAATAATAAAAATGTAGATTTACCGTATGTTATTGTTGAGTGGCTCTTAGCACAACTGAAATGCCCAACAATGACTTTTTGTGGCGGATAGTACAAGTACCTCAGAGCTTTGGCTCTGAGTAAAACCACGAGAGCAACACAATTAACCCTTTTAAAGTCCATGAAATAACTTAAATTGATAGATTAACTTAAACTTTTCCTGTCACTAGGGATGGGTACTTTTGCTTGTGCTATATAAACCACAAGCATTTATTTGCAAGAAAGAAGTTATACATACATAACATACTTTCTTTTCTGTCCAGTAAGCTACAAAACTACCACCTTCCTTAATAATGTGATTCCTAGTCATAACTAATTCTAATATGCTAGATTTAAAGATCTACAAGGAAAAATTATGTATTTTTAAGATACTAGAAATGACACTTAGCAGTAAAATGTGCATTATCATAAAAACTTAGAAGAACACAATTTTCAGGTACTGTATGTATATAATCAGGTACTGATTATAAAGTTCTTCCCCTTTAATTATTTGTTGAATGAATAAGCTCTACTATAACAACATCCAATAGCACTTAATTCTAGGAACTTACAAGTGAAAGTAAAGAAGAATATGTTACATCAACCACACTGTATCTGCCATATCCGGTCCCAACAAGGCCTTTTGCCCAGTAGCAGGGCTCGCCAGACTGGCTGGGATATGAGAAACACAATAGTGGTGTAGGTGCTATTTATATTATCAACCTTCATGAACAGTGATTGCTATGGTGAGAAGTAGCTTAACTAAGTGAATCGTAATTATTATCATTTTTTTTTATTCATTGACAAATCAGATTTTTAAGGTAAAGATTAATAATACCATATTTTTTATTTCTAATACTAATTATTTATTTATTATTATTTTATTTGCATTAACTTTGTTGTCATTCAGAAGAATTGGCAAACCAGCAAGCTAGTCTTCTTGTTCAAAGAGCTGGTTGAGCAACCACATCATCAACAGGAGAAAACTAGTAAGTAATTCTAAGAAATTATGAGTGAAAGTAATGTTAAATGATAAAAATACATGTATATGAATGCGTGCACACACATACACATGTAAGTATCTCACTAAGAAAAAACAGATACACTTACAGTACAACAAAACTCCAATACACTGAACATGGTACACTTGAGTATATTTCTGTTCCAAGTTATCATCGAGTAATTATTTTCAGGAGTATTTTCACATTAGGGAAGCTTGAACAAGATCCAATGGTTAAATGAAACAATATGGGGTGGGGGATAAGAAGGGAACATGGTGTTTGTGGAAATGGTATGTTTCAGAATAAACTGAATGGCTATTATGGGCTATGAAAAACTAAGATTAGATAAAAAAAACAACAACAACAAGATGTCTGACAGTTTGGTCCACTCAAGTCAATGCCCTCACTCAAAAAATAAGGTAACAAAATAAGAAAGTGAAGTCAAATGTCTCTTTTACGTTCACATACCTATCCATCAAAATTTTAAAGTTATTCAAACTACTAGCATGCTTATAACACATTATCAGGTAAACCTTTCTACAAATTTATAACTTTTAAAAAAAAATGTTACCAATGTAAGAGGTTTCCAAATTTAAAAACATTAACTTTCAAGTTTATTTTTCTAACCTTTTCATTCTACTACTTAAACAGACCAACTTTTGGAAAACTGCCCAAATCTCTTAACGTTTTTGAACACTGGAATGAAGCCTTTTATGTATTCTCTTATGTTCCAAAGAAAAATAATTTGATGCAGTAAGCTTCTCCCCATTACTTATATCACTTAATTTAGGTATAATTCTTGTTCCACTGCCTGTATTTGCACACTTTCCAACATGCTGATATCCTTTCTGTGGAGGACCAATAACTGCACATAGTACTGCAAAGGAGAATTTGCCAATGTGTTTTACAAGGTCACAATAGCCTTGCTATAACTAAATTTAATATCATACTTTGTAAATAGATCAAGATATATTTCTTTGTTTAAGCAAATATTGTGGCTAGATACAAGAGCAGTATTTCTGACTTCATGTAAGTTTCCGTTAAAGTTTTTTTTTTTTGCTTTTGGAGCTTTTTTTGCAGCATTTTCAACAAACTTCTAACTAATTATATAAATACTCCATATTTTTAAACAGATTTAATTTTTTTTTATAGTATATTGTCAATCAGTAGTTATTAGGAATCAAAGTGTAAGAGTTTTTAACTCTGATAATAACTATGGGCTTATCCATAATAAAGGGATTGAACAGTTTATAAACTTGATTTTCATCTACCAGTATCTCCTGCTAACCTTTGTAATGAAAATTAATCCTAAAATGATGTAGTAAATGGCAAGGGATTACCTTAAGACATTTCATACTCTAACTTAGTTGAATAATATTTCCCTAAGACTTCAGTTTGTTTCTTTAAGATTCGTTACATTTACCACACATTTTGGTCAATTTTCAATTATAGTTAAAAGTCCAGCAATTTTCTGTGCACCCACAAACCTTATTTGGAATCTCTTGAAAATGCAGTGCCTTTGTTATTAAACAGCCTTACATCAATTTTGTAGAATTAGGGCAATAAATTGGCAATTTCACTGGAGACAGAGATTTATCTTTACAAGCTAACATGATTAATGGGTTTTGCCCAGTGAGTAAGTTGAACCAAACACATGAAAATTGACTTTTTCAGATACTCTGGCTTAATCTTATTTTTTCAATAGCTTCATAGTATCTAAGCTTAAGTTTTTTGGAATTTTAACATAAGCATTATTCTAGTGTGATATTGATCAGTAGACTTGATTCATAACCTTTAGTAACATGTTTACAATGTGGTTGTCAAGGGACTTGGGTGTATATACAACATATTGTACAGTAGAACTTTCACTAAAATAATTGGTAGTGATTAGACTTATAAGCATATGGGGTGACTCTCATAGCTGCTGTGTAATAGTGATAGTGATTAAATTTATCAATAAACAGTGATGCTTTTCTTTTTATCAGTAATGCATTTAGTGATGGCTATACTTGTCAATAAACAAAGCATCTGCGAGCCACTGTGTTTTTGTCTCAAAACTTATGGCTAGTTTTGCTATATAATTTGTTTTTTTTAAAAGGTGGTCATCTGAGCTAGACAACTAATACAATAAGCATGTGTATATGTGTAAAGTTTGTTATGTGCAAGCTGGCTTCACAACCATCTGAAGCTGAATCCAGCAAAAATTGGATGCTTAATGCATATTGTTGATCTTGCTTGCTTCACAAAATGGCATACATAAAGTATGTGGTTTTGTGACAGAGATGTTAGAGGAAAGTTTATCACCCAATGTATAGAATTGGTCTTTTTCATTTTTCTGTTAGAAGTTATTAGATTGTGGCTCTGCTTTTACTTATATATTGGTATAGATGAACCTTCTCACTGTTACCTTGTTTAACAGGGTTCTATTTGCAAAGAATAATGCTCCTGGTATGTTAATCTAGAAGAAACAATCTTGTACATTTCAGTAACTACAAAAAAAAATGTTGTGAAACTCTGACTATGATTTTGAAGTAGTTTTCAAATTTCTTAATTGTGTTTCTTGATGGTTTTGGTTTATAGTGAAAATGTATGTTTGTTTTTTTTAAGATAATATATAAATATGATTAACATGCTTTTTCAGAATAGCCTATGAAAGACCAGACCTTTGACAAAGTTTTCAAGTTAATATAAAATGAAGGGTGAAATATTTATTTAAACGTGCATTTATTAAATGATATTTTGTTTTTACAAGTTCGTGGGATTATTTTTGTTATTTTATATTTTATTGATGATAGTAATCTTGTGATTTTGACATTTATCAAGTTATGTGTAGTTTTAATTGAGTATTATTTTCAAATTAAAAAATTGTTCACGACTTAAGTTAATTTTCATGGCTATTAAAGTTTGCAAAGAAACAAAGACATCTCTTTACAATATCTTAACATAAAGTAGGTAATGTTCAAATGGTCCTGAATTGAGCTAGTTTACAAAAACAAATTAGAAATTAGTGTATTATTAATTGTTTTTGAAATCTTAGAAATTTGATGTTGAATAGTGTTGGCTTCTTAAAACTAATATTCTTTAAACATACACATTATTTAATCAAATGTAGAAATTTAAGTTTCAACTTGAAATGATATTTGGCATTATTTTTCACACAGGCTCAAAATTATCTTAGTAAGGTATATACATATAATTATTAAACACTTCAGCTAAAATGCTTAAGTGTTAAGCAGGGATAGTTTTAGGATATGATTTTAACTATTTGTTTTAAAGATTGAGGACTTAAAAAGAATTGAGGACAGTAAAAGGTCTAAAGGGAGTGAAACCTCATAAATTATACAAATGCTTAAAGTAATTTGTCTTACATTTGTCAACTAAAGCCTTTCTGGATAAGTTTTCTAAAATGTTTACTATGACATACATAATATGTAATTACTTTATGATTTTTTGTTATTTGTAAAATTAATTTTTGAGAGAGAGAGGGAGAGAGAGAGAGAGATGTAATGCCATATATTTAGTAGCAACCGCAAATTGTTTTATTGAAGGTCTAAAAATCTTTGCTTGGGTATTTTTTTTTAGATAATTTGATTATATCATTATTTTTACCATAAAAAGATGTCTTTTTCAGTTGTTTACTCTCATATGAAGTTATAACCATTGTGCTCATGTGGTATTTACACATTAAAACATTCCTGTAAAATCAAACCCACACTAATATGTATGTATGTTGTATAAACTGTAAGTTATATATGATTGGACATCTAACACGAATTGTACATCAAGTACAGTAATGCTATGAAACCTAGTGTGAATTCATGCTTGACATTTCAATACATGTTTAACAAAATATTTCCACAATAAATGTTGGACTCCTTTTTGAAGTCAGTAAATTGCCTTGTACTTAAGTAGAAATTCACACTAAAACTGCTACAAAATATTTTGATTGATAACAAGAAAAAAAATCAGTTTTTCATCCTTTAGAAATATTTTCTAAATTAATTATGATAGTGATGATTCATTTTTTTTATTTATAAACAACCAAGTCTGTCTTGATCTCATATATAAACTACTTGTTTGTCAAAATTTCACACGTCTGTGCAATAGCAGGTTTTTCCAGAAGTGAGAATATTGTAAGGAAATGTAAAAACTTGTATTCAAGTCATTGGAGTTTCAAAGTGGCCCAATATAAATTCTAATAAAATATTGTCAGTATAAAATTGTTTTTTTGTTTTGTTTTTTAAGTATAAGTGAAATTCTAGAGAAGAATAAATTTTGTCAACAACATTTCTAGGGTTTTGAAGCTTGTACTTGTAATACACAGTTCATCACTACTAACCTGTTTGGTTCTGAACAGGTGTTTTGTCAAAATTCCTTTAAAACTTGTAATTATGAACCACATCACATACAATTTCTATCTTTTAATAAAATGGAAATAGATTGATTCTATTTATGGTGTATTACATTTTGTCTATTTTTTTAATGTAATGTACATTCATTTGGTTAGAAATGGTTTTAAATATTTATGTGGAAACACCCTAGAATACAGAAAACAGAATATAGTTGAGTATGACTACATACACAGTCAACGTTGTAATGAAAAGAGTTGACAATTTTTGTGCAAAAATCTAGATTATTATTTTTACATCAACAGAGTTAGTTTTATCAAAATTTACTAACTAAAAAATTGTTACTTGTTATTGTTTTAAATAGTGACTACATTGTCCCTTCTTAATTTCTTAAATAATGTACAGTTGTTTTTAATTCAATGTATATATTTCTAAACATAATTCATTTGATATTTTTGTATTTTATTAATATAATTTGCATGTATGTACACAGAAATTGTTTTTCATATGTATTGTTAATCGTTTGTAAATTTAAATTGCTATGCACACAGTGTTAAAAATATCTTTTGAAATAATAAAGAAAAGTTAATTGAGACTAGTGTAAAAAGGTTACATTAATTATTGTTCATTTTATAAACTGTTTCAGGCTGAAAAAGGAAACATACTAACAGTTTGTTATGGTTAGACTTAAAGTGAAAAAAGAATGTCCAAAGTACTTGTAGGTAAAGTATGTAGATTCTTTTTACTTCGAAAAGCATTTAATATGAGTATTTTTTTCTATATTCATAGGAGGAGCATTAACATATGTATATGAAAAGAAGTGTGGATGCATCTAATTATTTGCGTTCTTGGATTTTTTTCAAGGATTTTGTGTGATATTTGTTTTCCAGTCAAATGGTAATGAATATTTAAGACTTGAAGTTACACATTTGATGGTCAAACCATTGTGTAAGAGTAATTTCTAGTGAGTGAATAAACCATGGTGAAAACATTTCAAGCTTATTTACCTAACTGTCACCGTACATACAGCTGTATCCATTGCAGAGCCCACCTAGCCAATCATGATGAGCTGATTTCAAAGGTACTTATAATTTCATTAAACTATCACTGTTTGGATTTTAGCCAACTC